GCTTGGGGGCTCTCAGGGTGGTTTGTAACAGATGCACTTACCTCAGGTCTGAGGGCACAGCGGTCCCAGGCTCCGCCTTCAGGGAGAAAGACAATCATGCCTGAAGCTCAGAGTGTTCCTTCCTGAGGTCAGCAAAGAGCGTCTCTTCACTTTTTTTAGATAATAACTTTATTGAGATCTAATCCACACACCTTAAAATTCACCCTTTTAAACTGTATCATTCAGTGGCTTCTAGTATATCCAGAGTTGTGCAACCACCACCACAATCTACTTCCAGAGGACTTTCATCACCCCCAAAAGAATCCCGGAGCCTCTGGTAACCACTAATCTACTCCGCTTGTTTGGATTCGCCTATTCTGGACATCTCACAGATATACGGTATCTAGCTGTACATCCCAGATACAGAGAATTGATATTCAAAAAGTAATCACCGCCCACCTTCACTACACGCATGCTCCCACACACACTCAAAGGATCACACTCTTGATCACCAAATACAGACTCAATCATTCTAGCCTGTTGGGCCCCCACCCCCATCCCCGCTCCACAAAAGGATTTCTGATTATAGGGCTAACAAAAACACTTAAACAATTTGAAGAGCCTCCTCCCCAAACATGTATAAGCAGTGAAGGTCTATGTAACTAGACCACATGCTAAGTTGAAATGTGGTCTGGATCCAGGCGACTTTTTCTGCTGACATCCTTGCTAACCGCACTGTGCACTTCCGCGAGGCACCGTCCACGCCGTGCTCTGCGTAAGGGATGCCCCTGGAGTTGCGCGGCGCACAGCCCTCACCGCTGCACACGGCAGCCCTGAACTCCGGAGGCGGGCTGCAGGTAAGAGACTTGACTCACACTCACACATGTCTGCCCTATAAATTAGTTTCTCCTTTTTAATAGGTGGAGGCTAATGAGTCTCAGAGGCAATAGGATTGATTTGAGGTCAAGAGGAACCTCCTTCATCAGCGTCACTGCGCAGGTTGTTTTCCCTGGTGTTAGTGTGCCCGTCACAAGGCATCTGGGTTTGCTGCTAGGCACTTTGTAGCATCCATGAAACTTTTCTCTCTCTAGTCCGCAGAGCAGCCTGGGCTGGGCGGTGGGATGGCTCACAGGTCCTCCTTGCCTCCAGCCAAGCCCCTCGAAGAGAACCAATCTCATGACCAAAGGGCAGCCCCGGGATCTTGTGAGGGGAGGTGAACTACATCCCGTCCCTCCAGAAACACAAGAGCAACCAGGGCCATGATGAAAGAGGCCAGGCGCCAGAGTGCAATGCTGTAGGTGCAACGAAACTGGTCTACAGGGTGAGAAGTCGGGTCAGTCCCCTTCTTCAGGTGGACAGAGGGGGCAGTGGTTGGGAGGGGGACAAGAGGGACCGCTGGAAGGGCTGGCAAGTTCTGTTTCTTGATCTGGATGAGTGTTTGCTTCGTGATAATTCATTATGTTGTGCATATGTTTTATGTACTTTTCCACAGGTGATACTTCATTAGGGAAAAAAAGGTGAGGGCTAGGGGGCAGGACCTGGCAGGAGATCTAACTCTGTAGTGGTTACTAGTCACTTTGGATGACATGTCTTTTCTTAGGTGTCCCCCTCGCCTCTAGCCAAGCCCCTCTAAGAGAACCAATTGGAAATTGGAAATTCTCTCAGCTAATTTCATCTTGGTCATCTAGAGCAGGGGCCAGCCAATCATAACCCACCACGTGTTTTTGTGTGCCCTC